TCCTAATTCTTACTTTGCTACTGCTGATATTAATACTGACAAATTTATTACCATTAGTACGTCTAGTAGCCCGTCGAAGTATGTCAGTGGATTAAAATCTGGTCCAGTACCCACCAGCGTTCTGTTAGTTATCAGCTAATGTATGGAACCTTTCTTATTAGGAACCCTAACGTCGTAGAATTGAACTAAAATTGTTGCCATGGTAATAAAACTATATAATACATGTAACACGTATTAAAAACAAAATGTATTTCGGAAATACCTGCTGCCCTATGTACCTCAGGGGCAAAGTTTGTCTCGGGTACATGGAAAAATGTAAAATGGTGAATAGATGGAATAATAATAATAATAATAATAATAAAAGTAATCCCAATAATTATAGGAGCAATTGGAAATGTCTCCAAGTCACTCAGAAAATATTTGGGGCCAACTTTCCGGGCGAACACGACGTCAGGGAACTTCAGAAGACCGCCATTTTGGGATATTCATACGTAATTCGAAAGGCGATGTCGTAAAATATGTAGTCATCTCTAACAATAGAATTATATAATACATGTAACACGTATTAAGAACAAAATGTATTTCGGAAATACCTGCTGCACTATGTATCTCAGGGGCAAGGTTTGTCCAGGGTACATAGAAGTAAATACAATGTACGAAAGTGGTGATAGATGGAATAATAATAGTGTATTTGTTGTGTATTCGAGATTCATTGTCATTAATGTCGAGACCACAACAGCGAAAACACTTGAGCATGCAGCTTATGAAAGCTGTCAACCAAATATTTGATTTAAGCGGCACCCAGGAGGGACTATTTTACGCATCATTTACGAATTTGTGGCTGTCGTGAGAAATTATTATTATTATTAAGTGTTCTGTCTTACGACAGGTCGATTGCTCTGCCCAAAAAGAGCTCTCCAGTTGTCCCTATTCTCGGCTTCTCGTTTTAATTCCTGGAACGTCATCTTCTTTCCTTGTTTAAGGTCGTCGGTTAGCTGTATCAATCTTCTTCCTAGTCCTCTCTTTCCTTCAACCTGGCCTTCGGTGATATCACTCAGTAACCCATTCCTTCTCATAATATGTCCCAGCCAGTTAGCTTTCCTTCGTGTAATCGCCTGCAGAATGCTTCTTTGCTCGTTGACTCTCCTCAATACTTCTTCGTTGGTCACTCGATCCGTCCACCTGATCTTCTCTATTCTTCTCCAACACCACATTTCAAAACTCTCCAGGTATTTCTGTTCCTCGTGAGAAATAGAACGTCATTTTAAGATACAAGTGACAGTTTCAGCGAAAGTAGATTAAATTCGCGTAATCGTGCGGTTAGAGAAGTTGGATCAATTATCTGTGGGAATTGACGTGGTTGGGTTTTGTTTTATGAGGAAGATTTTTGAGAAGTTTTGACGGGAACTATAGTGAGGGCCCACTAATATCTGCCAGTCGCCATTTTTCTACGGAGGTTGGCAGTGTCCATGACCGGGGGTAATTGTTCGAACAGAAACAGTGACCTTGGATTGCATTGGTGCGAGAATGGCCTAAGCCGATATACTACTTTTGGATCCTGTTCGTGTAACAATGGCCTTGGTGTGGCTTGAAGTTCGCCTTTGGAATTGCTGTGTACTCCAAAGAGTACACATTTCCAGTCTTATTATTATTGCGTTTATGCCGATATGATTTCTATGTAAACGTAGAAGTGTACAGACATTGCAGGGTTTTTAGTGTTCTGTCTGAGGACAGGTCCAGATGAACAGGATCCTTCCATCCTTTTCTCGGACTGGGACCTGTTCATATACGTTCTTGGCAGATGATCCAGAAGTGGTTTGCCATTGCCTTCTTCTGTGTGTGAATGGAGTAATTGTTGGGATGCCACGGAGGAAAACTCCGTGTTGCCTAGACCACGGCCTTGCCCAACACAAGTTATAAATTCAGGCACCTAGTTTAACGAATATTGTAGACGATATTATTAAAATGTATGGTAGAGATCTGAATTATGGGTTGTGAACTTGGTTCAACTGGATCTGCGTTTATTTACATTGGCGACCTTTTGTGAACAGTGTGATTACCTGTTTGTTGCAGACTTTTCAGTTTTAATCTGAGATTTCGTGTTGCTAAGTACAGAGTTTTGGGATAATGAAATTATTCAAAAACATAATTCAGACCATTTCTGGCCACAGTATTCAGCGTATGGATCAATAATTCGACCCTGTGAAACGAATGTAGTTACATTTCTTTTTTTCGGTTCTACATTCATATTAATAAGATTTCTTGTTATACTAACTAATTAATAACTTTGTACCATGTATAGTTTGCTTGTCTAATTACGTCTTAACACGCGTTGTAACATTTTTCAATTGTCAGACCAATTTTTTTTTTTTGGTTTTTTAATTATTTTGAGGTTATTAACTGCAGAACTGAAGGTTTTGCTAACGACTCCTTCGTCTTTGTCATAATGGATATGACGTCTACCGGCAAGTTGATTGATCGTAGACTTATTTCTTCTTATGAGGGCACCACCACGTAAATGAATGCAGGTCAGATTGTGATGATGTAGGGTACGAGGAGACTGGATGTAATCGACTGTGTATACTGGTGGTAGTTTGTGTCCTGTAGCCATCAAATAGCCGGTAAC